CCTAGTACCTGGTTGGTTTTTTGTTTGCTTGTTTGTTTTACGTATTTTCATGCACTATACCAATAGTTGCTGTCTTCTTATTGTAGGAGGAAGGAAAGCAGATTGTTAGTGTTACAAACTCAGATGTGAACTGTTGAATCAAATTTAACATATTAACTTGATGAAAATTTTAAAATTAAGTTGATGGTTATGAGAAATCCGTTACAATTGTATGTCTTCATCTTTATCACACACTAATTAAACACAACTGCTTGTCAGGTCTGGTAGATCAAGCCTGTAGTCCCAGCTACTTTGGAGGCTGAGGCAAGAGAATGGCTTAAGTCAGAAGATCAAGGCTGCAGTGAGCTCTATTGCACCACTACACTCCAGCCTAAGTGACAGAGCCAGATTCTGTCTCTAAAAATATAAAAATAAAGAAAATTTAAAAATAAACACAACTACTTCCATCAGAAGTTCAAATGTCCACAATTTTAACTATGAGATATTTTGATATCATGAGCTATTTAGTGCTATATGTAGTATGGTTATATACTAAATAATGGCTAACAATCACAAGGAGACATAGCCCAAGGTAATTACAATATAAGTTGGTCATAAGTGTAATTCAGAACAGCAAATGAAGGCTAAAGCACCAGAGAAGATACTATCTTTCTGGCAAGACAGATTTGTTGTTGCTGTTGTTGTCAATAATTAATAAAGTCTGAATGAACATCCTAGTTCTAGATTACGGAAAATAAGTTTTTAAGTTGTTCTCTCTTTGAGAAAATTATCTTTACATAAGAAAAAAAGCGTGCTCATCTGAGTTTCCATGATAATATTAATAGTAAATTAATATTAATAAATGTTAAATATTTAATATTATTGTTTATTCATCATAAATAAATATGATACATAATTTATTATTGCAAAATATGATTTTTACTTCTGAGCTGTAGATATATATTTTACCATGTTTTAGTAGATTATGTTTGTGTGACATAATTATCTAATAAGTTTTCATTGAATCTAATAAAAGTTGAGGCTGGATGACTGCTGTATATAGTATTGTGAAATTTGGTCTCTGTCTTAATAAGACATAGTTTGATTGTGTGAAGTGAATGATCTTCTTGGGGATCTACTAAACTATTGGTTCCATGGTTGATGCTGCTAATCTCACAGTTAAATGGATGTTCTCCTCCTCCTTCACAAGATGACCTTCCCAAAGTTGCTCATCTACAGAAATAGAAAAGAATGATCTGCTTATAGAGGGCTCTATCCCACTCCAACGAATAAACATAAATTATTTTTCAAATAATAATTACATTTAGGAATAACAGTGCTATTTGTTTTTGACATAAATTACTAAACTTCCAAAAGAACATTGAAACGTTTAGGCTTTGTTTAGTTGTTTCGTTTCCTCTTCTTTTGGCCATTTTCCCATTTGCAAGAATAAAGAGAAGAAAGCTTGTTGCCTAGAAGAAAGATAACAGTTTGGGTGTAAATGCAGACATGACCTGTTTTGAATTGAAAAACAAAAATCTTTGTATCTTAGATAATGTGGGCCTTTCAGCAATTTAAAAGCAAATTTGTGCCCTCCTGTGTTTGTTGACTTTCTATTTATTTTTAATAAATGTAAATTCCAAATGATTGCTATATTTGCATATTCACATATATTATAATTAAAATATGCTAAATAAATAAGAAATTATTATGATTGCAAAAATATGAACTATGTCAGTACATGAGCTCTGTGTGATAAAATATGTATAATTTTCATAAAGAAAATAATTTGTACAGATATAAAAATAAGGGTAAGCCATTTTATATTTCTGAATATTGCCATTTAAAAAATAAATGAAATG